TCTTTATATTTTTAAATGTTTGGCGAATAAGAAACTATTTTCACAGAATAATAAACAATCAGAATGCCCACTCTCAGATGTCGCCTTTGAAGTTTTTCAGCACGTGCGCAATTTTTTAGAAGGAAACATATAACACAGACATAATGATTTGTAAAGTTAGGTATACCCGGTTCGCTATTCCCAGTCCGAACTGTCTAGTGATTTTAGTAATTATTTTTTTTCGAAGTTAGTAACTTTTTGACAGACTCGAAGTGGCTGGAAAATACTATACAATCAAGCATACGTGCTCTTAGTCAATATTAATGTAAACAAAAGTAAATAAAATAGAACTTTGCCGACAATCAATATTTATTTATTTACACCATATAATGTATTGATAACAAATAATAAAATTATTTATTGTACAAAATAAAAAAGTGGGAATAAATTCTACAAAATTAAGAAGTCAAAGTGAGGTTAAATAAGAATAAGACACAGCAAGTTCCTTATGTATTTACAACATTTACATAATTCGATAAATACATTTTAATGATCAACTTACCTCAACAGGGTTTTCATTCGGTAAAAAAAAATGGTAGGCATTTTGAATAAACCTTTGTTCAGTTTTATTACCTTGTAATCTAGGAACAGCATCCTTACTAATCTAAAAATATTAACTTTAAAAAAACTTTTTAAAAAACATTTTATCATATTTATTAAGAAAAACTTACCAACGCATTAGCTGATGGAACAAATGGAAAACTTTGACTATCCATAATAATAAAATTTAAAATATAACTAACTAATTAACTGAATAGAACTAACAAAACAATTAAACAAAGATAATAAAACTATATTAAATTAAATAAACAACGCGAATAATACAAATATTTACTACAATATTTTAAATTGTAACAATTCAAATATTATATCGACGGTTAAACTGCAAAACCTCGTAAGTCAGTTTTATTTAACTTTACAGGAGAGACGAAAAACGTTTTGGCTTCTTGACTTAACATTCAGTTTTCTCGTTTTTTGAGTGTAGGGTTCTTTTGAGGTAACGATTACATTACTCTTAAGTAAAATTTAGTAACATTGTTTTTTTTGCCAAAAAGCCACTTACGAGGTTTTGCAACTTAAAATCTTAAACTGTCAGTAAACTTACGAGGTTTTGTCTCAAAAGAACCACTTCCGAGGTTAAAAAAAAAAGCAATAAATTAAATTATTTTTAGTTAATTTATTACATTACATCACCTATTGTATAAAACTTATAAAATATTCTTAAAAACGAGTATAATAAAATAGCCGTAGTTTATAAAACTTGCTAATATTCACTATTAAATTAAATTCTGTCCATAAGAATAAAAAAAAATAAAAAATAAAAATTGTGATAATTTATAACTGGCTAATATCCTCTATTTACCCATGAGCAAGAGACTCATAAAAATGCCGAAAATCTTTAGGAATAAAGTTTTTCATATCCTGCATATCATTAAATTTAGAAAGTGTTATTTTTGGTGCAGTAGGATATGATAATGGCGGAGCATTATTTGCTTTTTCTTTGTTGGGTCGTTGCGGTAGTAGTTTCCAGTCATCTTCGTAATACAATTTGTACTCTATAAGACCATTCGGACGATATGCTAGACACCTTAAATTTGTTACTGTAGGATCACCTTTTTTCTTACCTGGACGAATTGAGGGATATGTTTCAATCTGGGAATAATCTTTAAAGAAAAGATGATCTAGGTAATGAACCTCATAAGGATGCTGTAATTTTGCATTTTTACAAATTTGAACATAACAGCCAGGTACATAAATGTCCCTATTTTTCAGCTGACGCTCGATGCAGGCGTGCATCGAGTCGCACTCCATTTGAGTATGTCCTTTTTCCAAATAGTTTTGGTAAATTTGAATATTCTTTGCTGCTGCAAAATTGGATAAAGCACTGCTCAAAGTTGAATTCATGTTTTGGTAATTGCAGCCATCAGAAAAAAAAATAACTTCTTTTGTTTCTTCTGTTACATACTTTTCAATCTGGTGAATGACAATTGATGTGAAGTCAGAAGCTTTTATATTTCCGGCTCCCTCATGCCAGATGTAACAGTCACCCTTATTTGATGCTAGATTAAAAAAGCACAAGTTGTGAACATTAAGTTTCTTTTTATAGTACGAAACAGATACTTGCAATTTTGGCGCACTTAAAACCGTTTGTAAATCCATAGTGAACAACAATTTAGTTGAATCGTTTTTTAGTGGACTGTTTTAATTTTTCCTTTTCTTGGCGAGCAGCATTTTTTCTAATAATATGTAACTGATAATCTTCATTACTTACAGTCCCAACAGTGTTACTAGTGCAGATGTCACACTGGTCCTTCCTAAAAAAAATTGATTTATTGGAGGCAATAAAATAACAATAAGTAAACACTTACTTTGGCCTAAACAGAGACAAATTTTGGTCCTCAAATTGTCTTCTAAAATACGTGTGACTTACTGGAGCATGTTCGTTAGTTGATCGACATTCATTAGTGTAACATCTATATAATTCGTTTATATTTTGCCACATCGGTTCTAAATACAATTTAGATGTTTCTTTACGGCAATAGTGGCTTTCAAGTTTGGGCAACTTTTGAAAAAAGTTAATTAGGAACTTTTTCTTTTTCGTTGGCTCGGATTTACAATTAGTATTCAATTGCTCAATATTTTGGGTTTGAGTTACGTTTACCCAACTTGCTACACTCCACTCCCCAACACATAGTGTCTCTAAGAACATTTTTTTGCATACCCGAAGTCGTATACTATTCTTTTTTAAATGAAAACATAAGGTACCTTTCCGCTGTTTCTCATTGGCTTCTAAAATCAAATTAATTTTAGTAAACCTATTATAGAGTTTAAAAAATATTATTAGTTACCTGCTTTGCGTAGTTTAATTGGTGCTGTATCAACAAGGCCTTTTACAAACATTTTTTTCTCGTCCCAATTCAACTGCCAAAAGTTATTGAATAACTGTAACCTATCTTCTTGACTAAATGTTCTGCAAAAGAGTTTTGATGATTTTAAAGACAATTTGCATTCACAAGCTGGACCCATTTGTCTTTGATTTCTTTCAACGGTTACGTACTTTTTAGTAGTTTTTTCGTACATTTTGGAATCATATTTCTCACCTCGCATTCTTTTTATTCTGTTGTTAGAGCGACCCCATTTTTCTTTGTGTACATTCCATTTTTTTGCCATTTTCTTTTTGGTTTGATTTTTATTGTCAGTTTCAGCTTCATTGGTAATTTGGTCACTTTCATCAGTGTCATCGGTAGACACTATATATTCAGATCCACTGTCTTCAAATGGTTCCGTTTCTTCAGAATTTAAATTTATAACATCATCATTACTGTTATTTAAACTCTGAGATAAACATTTTAAATCATGGGTTTTATCTGCATAATTATTATTACTAAGTGATGCCTGACCATCTTTTATACTAAAAAGATAACCTCGCTTTATTGATTACGAACAAATTACCTTAATATTACATTAAAAATAATTGTACAACAGTAAACTTACCCCTCTTGGCAATCTGCACTGTTTATTTTTATTAAGCTTAAGATATATTTTCCTCTTGAATTCATTATCAAAATTATGTAATACCAATAGATATTATCTTCTCAAAATCTCATTAACACAACAACAAAATTGACAACCACCACTCAAGTAATGAAATAGTTTCTGGAAGTCCCACAAAATTAAACTCCAAAACCACGCAAGTCGAACTTAAGAGTTTTCTGCTAACAGTTAGTTTTACGAGGTTTTTGTAGATGTCGCTAGTACCATTAAATTTAAATATAGACTTACAAGATTTCGTAGTTTAAAAGATATGGAAAAATATAAACCAAAAAAGTATAAAAGTCATAATTGACCAAAAATCGACTTACGAGGTTTTGCAGTTTAACCGTCGATATTTTTAAATATACAGCGAAAATTTGATGGGTTTAGTATACACTTCCACTATTTAGAATAATTCTTCTTTTTTTCAAAGAAAGGGGTCTGCAATAGTAGTATATTTGAGCTATTTATACTGAGAAGTAGGAATTGTTGTGTTGTAGGTTTCCTACAATGAGTCTGTCAAAATATGCCCTAGCTAAGCGAATAGACAATAATTATTTATGTTTAATAATAATATATTTTTGTTATTATATTGAATATAACTATAGTATGTCTATGATTTCCGTAAGTCGATTAAACCGGGTTAATTTTTCTATGCACACCACACAAACAACACTGGTTCTCTTTAAAACATGGCGGAACGTCTGCGCGAACGAGATTTATGATACTTAATTTTCCATGGAGAGTGGGCATTCTGATTGTTTATTATTCTGTGCTATTTTCTTGATTCTGTGACGGTTGTAATAACACCGAACGTAATAAACAATTAATACGTAATATATGTTGCCTACTCTAAAGCACCGAAACTTTTCCATTTGTACTAATTTTTTAAAATTTGAAATCCATTACACTTATATGGCACCTACAGTGTTTGCTTTTAATTTTGGATATTAAAGTACAAAAGTATTAACAGAAAAACATGAAAATTAAATAAACAAATTTTATACCTCGGAACACATTATCGAGATTTACAGTACAACTTACAACATACAAAATGCATAAAAATTTACAGGTGAGATTGTTTCAAATATTCCGTTCTTACCCGATAGTTCATAGTTGAATGGAGTATTTATAATATACTATTATAAAAAATATTTTTAGAGAAAAGGGGAAGGAAATACAAGACACGACATAATATTGTAATTTTATAACTACTCTTCTGCATTATTATCAGATCAGTTCATACAAAAATAGGTCAGTCAGTTTGTTTATTATGTAAATAGCACTTAGATAATAAACAATTACTCAGAATAATGCTGGTTATTTTGTAAGGATAGTCTCCCCCTTATAATTTTAAATATCAGCCCCTATACTTTGACAAAAGTGCCAATGCCAAAGTCACGTGACTGTTATCAGTCTATTTGATTCAATCATCGTACATGTCATCAAAAATTAAATAGTAGTTGATGTAGTGAGTGGTAATAACACAAGTAATGTTCTTTGTTACTACTCGTCGAGTATAATTTTTAAAAAGTTTGATTTACATATTACTACATGGCAATGAAAATCCACAAGCATTTTAAAGGCAGTCTACTTAAATTTGTGTAAAATATCATGTAAGTTTTTATAAATGTTTTTTATTTAGTTTGAGGATACACAATTTCTGTTAATTCTTGTTTTCTTTGTTTATTTTTATTATTTGTTTAAAAATAACATATGTTTTAATTGAATTTAAAACTAAATCACTGGCTCATATTAATACTTTAAAATATCAATGAGTAGGTGTTTGATCCATGGTTGTACAAGATTTAAAAAATACTATGAAGGATATACTTTCTTTCTTCAAAAACAAATTGTTTGCTATTTTTAATTGTTCTAAATAAACATTTATTTAACATATAACTATTAAGACAAGTAAAATATTTAAGTTAAAATAATCCTGTTGATTAAAATAAGATGGTAATTGAAATGTTGAATGTATGTAATTTGTCAGAAAATCAAAGGTTGTTGCTTACAAGAAATTATCACTCATTTGACCTCACAAAGTGTTATACGAAGTGTTTAATTTATAAACATTTATCAGTTTCAGTTATGCTTTGTTGTGTTTATTTTTGGTCTTTCATTTGTTATTGTCTTTTTCCTTTATTCATCAACTCTAGCTGTTACTTCTGAGATGTATTATAGCACTAAAAATATTGGTATGGTACCTTTGAATTACTTATAAATGTTTTAAATATCAAAACTATCATGATCTACTTAACCCCTCAAAACCTGACCCCCTTAAAACTTATTTAAAAATGTTTTTCTTTTCAATTTAGCAATAAAATGGATTAAGATATAATATACTTCAGGCATTTTTGTTTCAAATATACCTAGGTGGTCGTAAATAGCTGTCTAAATATTCATACGCTAGGCTTTTACAACACCATGTTTTTATTAGAAATTATACAATAATAGAAACGAAACTAATGGACTTATAAAAGTTTACAAAGAAAACTTAAAATTATAAACAAAATAAATTTATCTCAAGTGGTACAATTTAAAACAGTTAATGTGAAGTCCAACATTACATTTGCTGCAAATAAAAGTTATGCATTTATGGCATCTTCCACACCGTCTCTGTCTTTGATTTTTGATTGGCCAATGATCAAGTCTGTCATATCAAACTTCATCAAGGACACTCGAGGTTCTTTGAGGTGTAGGAATATGATGATTAGGTGTTGATAATATAGGATTTACTATTTGTGGAATGAAATCTATTTGTTTGATTTTTGGCTCGATGTTTCTAAATAGTAACCAGGAGTTCACTATCGACGCATTTATCATTTATGATTATCATTTATGATTTGAGGTCGATTTTGAATTTATTTTTTTTTTAAATTAGAATCCTCTGGCAACTCTTCTACAAAATGCAAGGGTTTCCACGAACATCTTGTTTTTTCGACTTTTAATTTTTTAGGCTTAGGTATGTTCTTTGCTGATCCTGTTCTCATTTTTGAAGTTAAGGGTTCCAAACTCAATTCCATCCTTTCACGGTCGTGTGTAATTATTTCCACCTGAGAGCACTCTGCTAGTAGACCAGGGCCCAATAAATTCACGCTATTAGTATTCTTCCTCTGAAACTTCATCGATATCCGTGTCTCCGTCATTTTCAGGAGGAAACAATGTAATGTCTATTAATTGTGCACCAGCAAGTTCATCGTCACTATCGGACTCTTCCAGACACGCTATTAGCTCTTCGGTAGTGAGTGGTCTCCTAAAAACAACAAATATAAAATTACAATGCCTAACTAAACTAATGCTCATAAAATCCTAACGTATGAATTTTCATACGCTTAATTTTTGAATACCCTCGGTAACACAAAGTGATTCTATATACCACTAAATGTAAACAGTAGTGTAATATAACCTCTAAATGAATGAATAAACAAAGAATCTGACTAACAACATAACAACTTATGACTATTTTTGTATAAAGACTTACCTCCTCTTCCACTTTTGACGAAATTTAGTTGTCACGTCATTTTGATTTGATTTAAAAGCCATATTTTTAACGAAATACACCAAATAACCGGTAAAATGTAAACACCACACGTTATTTAATTGATATTTGACACAATTAATAGAAACCAGTGGCGTCTTTTCGCTGCAAGGTTAAACAAAAATGGTATGTTTTGCATATGAATATTTAGACGTTAGGTTTTGAGGGGTTAAAGTAAGAAAACCTGGTGTTTTCTGACAAATATTTCCAATAACATCTAGATTGAGTTAGTTTTATTTCAGATTTATGCCTTCAATTTTGGGATACAGATTTAAATCTAACAAGAAGAAATCTAAAATGAATGGGCACTCGAATGTTCCATTGGGAGTACGATTTTTACAGAAGTTGACTGATACTTGTTGTCCAAGGTTTCATTTTAATAGGGAACTATGGTAAGTGTAAAAAATGTTTTTCTTCTTAATATAACAGTGTTTTAAAGGATGTTAAACAAATATAGGGATGATATTTTATATAGTGCTTTAATATTTCAATGAATACATAGCAAATAATACATAGCATCTTATATGCAACTGGTAAATGGAGTAATACTGACAAGTGACCCCACGTTCGGGTCATCATTATGTAGCTATCTGACTGTTACCTAATATAAAGCAACTAAATTGATTCCATCACACTAAGAAACTCAGAGGATGTTATTGCTTTTAGTTCCCTATTTTTTATATATGTCCATACCAGAGGTCTGGTGCTTTATGAAATAAAGCACCAGAAGAATTAGAATTTCTGTAAGTAAAGGAAAATGTCTAATAGTCTTTCACAAAGCTAGCAGGGATAAATTTAGTTCAAGCTGGTAAAAAAATCATTTGCTTTTTTGTCTATTATTACCTTAAAACTGTGCATTAACTTTAAAGTACATTTAATACAGTGTTCATCAAAATTAACATTACCAAATTTAAATATTCTTTGAATAGATTTATAATTAATATTTCAAGTCCACAAAAACTTCATAAAAATTCTAAAAATCATGAATATTCATATTTATAAAGAATTACTGCTGCCAATACAAAAAATAAATTATTTGTAGTTAATATTTTTTGACAGATTTTCCATACCATACCATAAATGACTAATAAAAGATTTATGGAGTAAAACATAAATGTATGCCTCTTTAATTGAAAAAAGAAGAATAATCATAAATAATAGAAGTACATATATGATAATAAATGTGTTTCTCAATAAATTTTTTGTTAATTGGAACATCCCGAAAGCAAGAAATGGTCAAATTGATCACCTCCGTCATGGCAGATAGGTCGCCACAGCTGTCCTTCTAGTGTTAACATTTTGTTGTCTAATTTTTCGATGATTAGCTGTTGTGTTATTAGTTTCTGTTGGTCTTTTTTTCTCGAGATTCTGCACCTACATTTTAGCTGTACCAAATGGCCAGATTTCTCTACGACATAGCATTTAAGATGTTTGTAGCTATCAACCATTTAGTTCATCAAGTCGTGATCAATTTGGTTGGCAATTGTTACATCAGACAAAATTCATGCTACATTGTTAGTTAGAGTGCAAAGAATGTCGACCTTATATTATTTTTTCTGCTGGCAAAATTTATTAGACATTCCAGGTTACTGTTGGAGTTTTGTTGGAGTGAGAAATCTTTCTTGTAATTGTTTTTAAAACTCCTCTTTTATTCGAATATATGGTGTCCTGTCGAGCTATGAGTATTGATGATCGATGAGTTAAAAAAGTTTGTTTCATTATTTTACATATTCTTCAATTCACTCCTTTAAAATATAATATATTGCGCTTGATCTCATTATCAACGACAAAGGCCGCTCCAAATGGTTGTATTTTTTCTCTGTATAGTATTTTGTGTTCAAAATACTATACAGAGTGTTTTGTGTATCAAAACCGCATAATAAGAAACCAGATTGATTATATATTAATTGACAAACATTATAGAAATGGAATCAGGGGAGTTAAAACATATCCCGGAGCGGACATCGGTTCCGACCACAATCCTGTTGTTGGTAAAATTTCAATTAAACTAAAGAAAATCAAATACAGAGAGAAGATAAAACCTAGCCTCGAAACACTTAAAGATCCAATAGTACAGGCAGAAATAGAGAAATCACTAAATGATACACTCAAAGAAAAGTTCAGTGAAGCACCCGCGGAAGCAGAAGAAACAATAGAAAGTATTTGACACACCTTCAAAACAACAATCACAACTATACAAAGAGAACAACCACAAGACAACATCAGAAAAACAAAGAATACATGGATGACAGAAGAAGTCCTAGAACTGATGGACATAAGGAGATCTTACAAAAATCCGAAACAAAATCTGGAAAGCCAAAGAAGAATGGATGAGCAGCAACTGTGAGAAACTGGGAGATTTATTAAAAAAGCATGACTACTTTAATGCATACAAAAAGATTAAGGAAGTCACAAATATGAAGAAAAAATCATTACAACAACTTTAGTAGATGATAACAACCAAATAGTACCTAGTCCAGAAAATGTAGGAGATATGTGGGAAAATACATCAAAGATCTGTTTGATGATGAGAGAACAGAACCACAAATGAATATAGTACAAGAAACAATACTTTATATATTAACATCAGAAGTTACAAAAATAATCAATACGACAAAGCCACGAAAAGCCTCAGGTCCAGATGAAATATACGCAGAGATTATAAAGCTTATCAATGAAGAAAATCTTCAGATGTTAACACTATTATTTAATAAAATATATACCACTGGAATCTTCCCAGAAGGCTGGCTTAGATAGACATTTATACCTATACTCAAGAAAAATAAATTAAATATATGGTCACAGTTCAGATTAATTAGCCTGATGAGCCATTTTCTGAAAATTTTACTCAAATGGGTCTTGGTACAAGGGAGGCATTATTTGACCTCCAGATATTACTACAAAAATGCTGAGATCAGCGAAAAGACGTGTGTCTCTGTTTTATCGACTACGAAAAAGCGTTTGATCGAGTAAAACACACAGAACTCACAGAAACCCTAACACAACATGATATAGACCATAACACTTAAGCACTTATTAAAAAACTATATTGGGATCAGATGGCGTCGATCAAAATAGACAATCGTCTGACAGCAGAATTGCCAATAAAAAGAGGAGTTCGTCAGGGCTGTGTACTTTCTTCACTGTTATTTAATATATATTCCGAAAAGATCTTCCAAAACGCCCTCGAAAATATTGAAGAAGGAATAAAAATTAACGGAGAATACATAAACAATTTAAGATACGCAGACGACACCGTCATTTAGGTGCGACATTTAGTGCTGATGGTTTACAACGACTTTTGAATGTCATAACCAGAGAGGGAGATAGCTTGGGACTAAATGTAAACACGAATAAAATAAAAGTAATGGCTGTTACACATGCACCAAATGTCGACATTAATATTCGTATCTATAACAAACATCTCGAACCAGTACAAATATTCCAGTATCTTGGTTGATGGAAAACAAATGATCTTGACCACGAGGTCGAAATACGTGCTCGTATAGAATATGCTAGATCCGCATTTCAATGAATGAAAAAAATCCTAATAAACTCTACGTTGTCGTTGGATATCCGATACCAATTTGTAAAAACTTTTATTTATTCCGTATAGAAGCCTTGGACAGAGCACGTGACCAACAACGAGGTGCTAAGAAGAATGAGTGCTGAGAGAAAACTCCTAAATATTGTAAAAACCAGAAAAACGAGTTATCTAGGACATATTTACAGAGGAGAAAAATACAACTGCCTACCTACGACTTATAATGGAAGGGTAAGTGGAAAGAAGAAGAAAATGCTCCTGGTTGAAGAATATAAGAGACTGGACAGGCATGGACACATTCGATATTAAGAACAGCTCAAGATAGAGAGCAATTTGCTGTAGTTATAGCCAACCTTCAGTAATGGAGAAGGCACCTTAAGAAGAAGTATTTTGTGTGTCTTTTGGTTTTTATATAATTTCTTAGCTATTTAGTTTCTTGTATTATGTAGTACTATTTTGTATTTTCCGAGTTTCTTAAGCAGCAGAGTAACGACACTTTGGTTTCAGGTTTATTTAATTTCAAAACGTTTCATATACTGAATGCATAATCCATATTTCTTTGCTTGAGTCTTTGATGGTAAGATAGTCTTGTCAGAGGTTTAAACCTGGTCCTGTTTATACTTAAACCTCATCCACTCCGGGATAAACAGGACTCAAACAGGTTTGATTCTTCATGTTTATCCGGGATTTGGTTCAGCATTGATATCGTGAGCTAGTTGACTCATTTATGGATGCCACAGGTTATGTGCGGATAGCTATAAAAGCAAATAAAAGTACAGACAGTTGGAAGTACTTCTTTTTAGAGGCCATTCGTTTGGAATATTTCAATCTTTTTTTAAGAAACTTATATTTTCACTTGATAACTTATATATTCAAAATTCTTGTTCATTAGTTTTATGGAATTAAGTTAAAAACACTTATGATACCAATGTTTGATATGTTTGTCCAAATTTTGATTTTTATGTGGTTTTAGAATTTATATGGTGTTGTTTTAACAAGTTGGACAATTTAATAATTCATAACTAGATATAAGCATAAGCTTAAATTGTTTTTTATTTTTACTTTCAGTTATCGTGTGAGCGTGATATTTCTAACATATATATCGTATATGTGCTATCATCTATCAAGAAAACCCATTTCAGTAGTGAAAGCAGTGTTACATAGAAATTGCAGCAATCTCGTACCGCCAGATTCGAATGAGCCAAGCAATTGGTGTGATTGGGCACCTTTCGGTAAGTTTTCATCACTACTATTTTTTTTTCAACACATACAGTCGCCGTTCCGCAAAAATTATTTATATAGTGTATTTCAATGTTCTTGATGCTTATATTGATAATTGTTTAATCATTATGTATATTATATTTTCATACTTATATATACAGTCTGTCTGTTGGATGTTTTCAGAAGTGTGAAATAATTCACGAATTATTTTTGAAGCGAAGCTTCGATACTGGCGTTGTATTACTTTTTTCTCTACAGTAATGATGGTGCTCATCCGAAATGTGTATTTTTTATGCCTCTGGCGTATAAATCAGGCTGAATTAAACCGATGGCCTGGTTTATATTATCTTTGAGGGCCGCTGTGGTTTGTAGCTTGTTCGCATAAACTGGCGACTCAAGTCGCCAAGCTTAAACCTTACAACTCACAACAAGTCGCTCGTTAGAATGTCCAATGTAGCAAGTAGCACTATACCTTTGAAACCACATGTCATTTGTGTCCATATCATCATATTCTCAAACAAAGATGGATCGATTAACCCGCCAACCTAAAATCCACACCAAACAGTGACTTTTTCGTGATCTTCTCATCTGTATTGGTTTCGAAAAATGAGCCTTATGAATGAGCCGATTCAGCGAACACACACCGTTGTATATGGTCATGGACTTCCAGTTCTTGCATCAATGTACGGATGAAGGCCCAAGTCACGACCCAAAATTCTTTAAGTTGTGATCTGTGAATGACCGAGTTCTTGTCAGCGACGTGAAATCGACTGCTTCGGATTTTCCTGCACGTTCTCAAGGACAACTACGATGTTTTCGCCAGATTCTACGTTTCTTACTTGATTGTTTACTGAACTAATGGACTCAAATTTATCCTACACACTGCGAATAGTCTCCTGGATAGGACTATTATTGCGACTGTAACATGGACGAAGCACGCGGAACTTTGCTCGAATACGAGACTAATTTTGATAAAAACTTTATCATTTGCACTTGTTGTATGTTGTATCCATCCATGGTAATTTAGGAAAACGCACTGATTAAATTACAGCTAATTTGACAAATGTAACATCAAAAATATGGCTGCTATCACCTGTTCGGAAGTGTCTATTTAAAGACTAGTAGAAGAACACGAGTCTAAAGAAAATATAGGATGTCCGAGCGAAATAGAACTACAAAAGAAATGGATAGAGCAAGAAATTGTAAAGCTTCAAGAGAAGATAAAATAGTAGCATAAGAAAAAAGCATAAGATATCAAAGAGAAAGTAAAAGAGAGTTAGCGCACAACGTCACTGGTTTAATAAGTGATAATATGTATATTATTAACCCGTCATTATTCGCGTGGTCAGCGCAGCGCTCAGGGGCTACAAAAGTATTCAAAAAACAACCGGCATTCAGACTCAGTGTAATCTCTAATGGTAGTATGTAGGACTTGTAGGACGCATTTCGTGTAAAAACATTGCCGGCAAGCATAAATACCCCACCACTAAATATTTATTTCTTGTCCGGCCATGGAAAGAATTTGTTGTGTTTTAGTCGTGCTGTTTTAACGTCAACGCGGAGATATAAATATACTACCTGCGATTTTTATTATGGATCCAGCCCAAGAGAGACAATGTTTAGCGTGGTTGGATGAAATTGAAGCAGAGTAGAATGAAAATAAACCTGGTTTACAAGATGAAGAAGATAGTGATATAAACCAGTGTGAAAATTTAGGCCATAATACAGATTCCGAATTGTCAGCAGATTCTGATGACAATGATGTGGCTTCTGTTTGTCGTAAATGTTAGTTTATCTTGGAAAAGATGGTATAACAAAATGGACTGTTAATTCGCAGTAGGTACAACTTTGTTACTCGTCCACAGGTTAACACAAATAGCGAAAAATATTTTAACACCAATTGAATGCTGGAAATTTTTTTTCTCTGACAAAATGATAAACGAAATATGGGCAACATACCAATACGTATTTACTAAATATGCGCAATCAGTTTTCTCGTGAAAGGGATGAAGCATGTAGCAATAGTGATTAAATTAGAGCACTATTTGGCTTGTTGTACTTAGCTGGTACTTTCAAAGCTTCTTATGTAAATCTGGACGATATTTGGGCTATAAATGGAACAGCTCCTGAATGTTTTCGACAGTTATATGTCAAAGAAGCGATTCTATATCCTCCTTCGTGCACTACGCTTTGACGATATCCAGTCCAGAGCAGAAGGACGAAAGCATGACAAACTTGCACCGATTAGAAAAGTTTTCGACGAGTTTTTGGAAAAATGCATGGCTTGCTATACAGCTGGAATGTATTGCTACATTTACGACATGCTTGAAGGGTTTTGGGGAAAATGTAGCTTTCGTCAATATATACCAAGTAAGCCGGCAAAATATGGGATAAAAATGTTCGCACTTGTTGATTCGCGAACTTTTCACACAGCAAAGTTGGAAATATATGCTGGAAAGCAGCCAGAAGGCCCTTTTGAGATAGATAATAGTCCTAGCAGCATGGTTAAACGTATGATAGAACCAATTGCCCATACTGGATGCAACATTACTTGCGACCACTGGTTTACGTCCATTCCACTGGCTATTGACTTAATACATAATTACAGGATAACTCTGCAGGGGAATTACAGTAGGAACCCTGAGAAAGAATAAATCACAAATGTCTCCTCTTTTTGTAGCTACAAAAAGAAAACCACTAAACAGCAGCATTTTTGGTTATGATAAAGACTGTATTTTACCATCATACGTTCTCAAGAGAAACAAAAATGTTTTGTTATCTACGTTTCATGACACAATTGATGAAGAAACGGGTGAAAACTTTAAGCCGCAGGTTATAACCTTCTACAATACGACAAAGGGAGCAGTGGATGTTGTGGACCAGATAAAATGTAGGTAATTACTCCGTTTCTCGAATAAGTTGCCGATGGTCACTTACAGTCTTTTCTCATTGATGAGTATTGCAGGAATAAATAGTCAGGTAATTTATTATAGCAATACTAATACTAAATTAGAACGTCGTAAATACCTAATAGAAATTAGTACAGATTTCATCAGACCCCACCGGATAAGTCATGTATCAATACCAACATTGACAATATTGTTACGACTTCAAATAAGACGCCAAGCAGGTCTTCCTGATGAAGAAACTTCAGTAGCAACTGCAGATACCAAAGATAGACTCAAATATTTTTACTGCCCTCGAAGTAAAAATAGAAAAACTACTTTAAGGTGGGCAGATTGTTCAAAACCTATTTGTGGTGAACATATTTATTCATTTATTTATTTATTGACGGGCTAAACCCTTGTTCAGTTTTTGTACAATATGTATAAAATACAGTAAGATACATAAACTAGCTAACAGATTTTCAACATGTTTTTTAAATTATGCAGTTGAAGTATTAAATAATTCTAAATCTGTATGGTAATTGTTCGCCGTACGTAACATCCTAGAAATAACTTCATTAAGTGCATAATTAGTAGAATGGAAATCTATAAAAAACAGGTCAGAATTACGGGTTCTTCGCATAGGTATATTAAATGAGATTAAACAAAAAATTTCAGGGCAATTATAAATCCATTTAGAAGCTTACGTATAAAATATAATTCGAATTCAGCTCTTCTTGTCTCTAGTTTGTTCATTTTAAGTTGATTAAGAATATAAGTGTAATTATAATTTCCACATCTTAAACCAATTTTATAACCACATATCCTTAAACATCTGTTTTGAACTTTTTCTAATTGAGTTTTCTGGGTATTATAAAAAGGATCCCATATAATACAGAAGTATTCTATAATTGATCGCACTAGCGAACAGTATAATATTCTAAACGTAAAGAAAACACTGAAAAGTCCTTTGAATTTCTCTGGATAAATCCTAACATTTTAAGGGCACGTGAAGTTATATCATTAATGTGATCATTAAAGTTCAGTTTTCTATCCAGTGTATCCAGTTTTCTATCCATTGCAGAACAGTACCATTAAGTGTGTAATTATTATTAAAAGAAGCCTGCGTTTTACTAAACGTGATTTTAAAACATTTTTTTAGATTTAAGTTTAAAACATTTACTCACACCAACGTGAAAAATGATTTAAGGACAACTGCAAACATTCACAATCAGAGAGGCAAGCAATATATCTGAAGATTTTTATGTCATCAGCGAATAAGAGAAATTGTTCGGAGTTAATATCTGTTTGTAAATCGTTAACAAATATATTAAAAAGCAGTGGACCCAAATCAGAACCTTGTGGAACACCTGATGTTATATGAATTGGTTTTGACAAAAAACTACCATATTTAACCATTTGAGAACGATTAGACAAATAATGTTTAATCCAATTTGAGATATTATCGCTAATGCCATAGCCACAAAGTTTGGCAATCAAGATGTCATGATTGACTCTATCGAAAGCTTTTGAAAAATCAACATAGATTGAATCGATCTGAGAACCAGACTCCAACAAGATAATGATAAAATTTGTATAATACACGAGATTCGTAACTGTGGATTTACCTTGTTAACCAATTATTATGTTTTTACAATCAAAACGTAACATTCTATTTACAAAAAAATCTAATAGTTTTGCTAACTCTGACAGTATACAAACTGCACGGTAATTTTCAGCTTTATCTTTCTGACCAGATTTGAAAACTGGTTTTAAAAACTAGATTTTCAGAAATCGGGAAATATCTCTGATATTAGTGATATGTTAAATAAATGATGTATTGGTTCTGCCAAAGTGTATACACATTTTTTTCAAAATACATTGGAACTTCGTCAAGTCCCTTGGTAAGTTTCCACGGGCAACTCAGAATCTCATAAATTATGTCCTTAATGTCAACAACATAATTGCTTACATTCACAGATTTCTCAAATTTAAAAATAGGAATTTGATCAACTACATCATTGTAGACAGTTGAGAAAAAGTTCGCAAAAATATCAACGATTTCTTGACTATTTTCCCCAATATAATCATCATACTTAATAACTGATGGTAACATATGTGAGTTT